AAAAACTCAGACACGATAGCACAAAAGTCAACCCAGAAGCTTGCGCAGAGTTATAGCTCACCCAGGCAATTATTCTAAACAATTAGAACCGTTGATTTATGGTAAAAATAAAGTAAAATATTGTTGAAACCAAGATTTAAATTATGAATTCAGTAAAGAGAAAAACTTCTGCAATTCTTTCTTTACAGTCCAAACTTAAAAGTAGTTTTTTTCTGTTCAAGAAAGAATTGAAATCAAAAATTAATAACATTAACTTCTCAGAGTATAAATAACCTTTTTCTCGTGTCAATCGAATTATTATTATTATTATTATAAGTTATTTAAAATGAATTTTAAAACTTTTAAATTGTAGTTAACGTTATTTTTATTTTAATATGATAATGTTCCATTAGTTATGTTCTAAAACAATCATAGTCAGATAAGTTGTTTTAAATTTTGTGAAGTGTGTTTTCAGCTACTGAAGATGAGCTTACCACCCGTCTGATTTCAAGCTTCCGACTTTTACCAGCAAATCCAGCTTAATAATATATGTTATTACTACTGTTTTTATTTCTTTACCGAGCTTATGTATTTTTGCGAATGCAAATAATCTCGGCATTCCTATTTTAATGTTCCTACCAGCAGTGGAAAAAGCTAGAAGACTAACATATATTATTATGAAGCGATTGCAGAAATACATGAACACCAATCTTTATTACAGTATACTGTTTGCACAGGACTCAACAATAGCAGTGAAATAGTTGCAAGACCTCATGTTAATATGGATGATGAAATAGGGACAGTTATGAACTACAAGAACCTGTAGCCTTCAATAAATGTATGAGTAATGTCTTCGTGTGTATGTTTCGTTCATGAATTTTGAAGCTTAATAACTTGTGTGTCTTTTGACAAACATTCATGAAATTTTGCAAGGATGTTTGAGTATTAAGAGAATACAATTGACGCTGTTAAATTTTAATGGTGAAAGGTCAAGAGGGTGTGGAGATGGAGAATGTCATGTGGCATATGTCGAGTGAGTACACTTTATGAAAATTTTACTCGATATTAGCATTTACAATTTTTTTCTAAACTATTTCCTAGCTACAAAATTAAACTTTTTGTCATTTTATAATAATTAATAAATACAAAGAGTTTTTAATAGAACATCACAACAAATGGCGTCATCACAATTTTAAATGTTTATGCTTGGAAATTCACGCAACTCGTTGCTGAATATTTTCCATAACGCGATTCTAAGAAAATACTTTACTGTCTTTGCAAAGTTTAAATTGTTTTCTCTATTTAGGCCTATATAAAAATTTTAAGTGGAAAATACTTTCTCTCTGTTTGAATTTGTATGGAAGAAACGGATATACCATTGCTATGACGGCTTGAAGGTATTTATTAACGTTAACAAAGTGAATGCCCTTGTAATTTAATGGTATAGATTGCTGAAAAACAAAGAAAACTGGTTGAAATATTTTTTCTAAATCTAATTCTGATGCAGTCGCTGTTAACATTATTTAAAATCGCAAAATGTTTTCGTATTAAATCGTCAAAATTATATAAAATAAAATTTACTATTTTATGTCACTAGAAATATTTTAAAAATTTCCAAAACTTGAACAAACGGGATGATTTATCTGGGTACATTAAATTCTAACAAATTTTAGAACTTAATAAGGATTTAAATTACATAAAGTTGCAACAAAAAAAAACAAAGTAATCGATATAATAAATACCTTCGAAAATCTATAAATAATGAATAAACATATGAATAACAAAAATTTAAATAAAGAATATATTAAAAAATATATAAAACTGGCTGCAAGGACCCACTTCGCTGGGTTTTTATTTGTAATATAATTTTTTTTATATATATAAAAGACTATATGTTTTTCTAAGTAATCTAGAATCTAGCTGCAAGGACCCGCTTCGCTGTGCAAAAAGTACCGATAGTGAAGATTAAGATAATTACATTATATCCAATCTTAACCCTTTTCACAGAATGCAGGAATTAGATCCCCCGTTTCCAGACTAATTAGAGAACTTTTACATGAGTGTGAAAATATGAGCAAATACGAGCGAATAAGTGAAAACAAAGCATTTGAACAAATTGTTCTCAAACGTATTTTGCAGTGGCATGCCGTCATTACAAGCGGTGAAAGCGCCGCTTCCCTTGTATTTTATAAAAAATAAATACATATTAATTTTTATTTATATGAAAATAATCGCACAATATTTTATTATAACCGCATTATGTGTCTTATTACAAATTTCTATACTACACGTGAAAAAAAAAGATAAGATTGCTATTGTATATTCCAATATTAGTTGCGGAGTGGAATCTCTGTATTGTCAGATTCCAAAAAGCCAGATTTGCTCATGAGCTTTACAGAGCACCAACCTCACCCGGTGTAGCCGATGGAAGCCTACGACCTTGGGTCCATGCTACACATATAACGCTTCCAATTCTATCCGGGACCGGTTCCGGGCTGTTAGCCGCCCGCCCGCTAGATATTTGGCCGATTACGTAAATAACGAGTAGATTTATAACTTAACCCAACCGACTAGAATTTACTGGCATGTTTTTATGATAGTTCTGTATAGTTGACAGGAGTTTAAAAAATCCATTAAAATATTTGATATATTTATTCCGCTCTCCGATTTTATATTACTCATGGATTTCAATGTTAAACCAGTGATATTACGATTTCGTACGTCCCATCTTTAAGGGGATATAGAAAAAAACGTGTACAATTCTTGTATAATGTTAAAAATTAACCGTTACTTCGACAGCATCATTTACGACTAAATTTAATGAATGAAAAAGATGCACCAGGTACAGAAAAAGCTCTAGAATTTATTTTCCTTAAATTTACGATTTACGTATCCGTTCGTCATAAAAATTTGTCTTTCCACTTTTTTTCCGAGACTACAAATATTCGAGTACAAAGTAACCGGTTTCGGCTTATTTCTACTTAAGAAGTAGTTAAATAATTAAGCGATTCGGGAATTGGGGACGTAAACAAACTGTAATGAAAGAGCCAGAATATTACTTAAACAAAAGCTTAACAGAACCAATCTATAGCCGAGTACAGTGGGGACTGATTTCTTCGAAATATGATTTAATATCACTAATTTTTACGATACCATATACGAATGCGTCTGTTGAGCGCAGCTTTTCAACCATGAAGCGAATTCATACATTCACAAGGAACACTCAATCCGAGGAAAGATTGTCATCACTAGCTTTGCTTTCAACAGAAAAAGAACTTTTAAATACGTTGATGAAATCAAGGACAAGTGACTTTTATGATAAAGTAATTAACGACTTTGCGGAAAAAAATCGCCTAATACAGTTAATTTATATAATATAAAAAAAGAAGTTTTTCTGTAATTGTATTATGTCAATTTGTATTATGTATGTATTATTTGTAGTTTAGAATTAAAATAAATAAATTGTTTATTTTTGTCATTTCTAGTATTTGTTTAAAATATTTATAGAAATGTCATGTTCTGTACAGGTCTGAACCGTCACGAAAAACGCGAAAAAACGGTTAATTTAGAGAAAAATTTATTAGTTTAAAATGAGATAGGAAAATATCATTTGTAGTCAAACAACCATTTGTTTATATCAAACTGCGACACATTAAAACATAAATCGCTTAGGGAAGTCGTCCTATGATTGGTGGAAGATGAATTCATTTTCAATTCTGACTTTTCTTGTGCTCCAGGTAGGAGTCCCGTTGTGCTAAGAAACGAGAGACCAGCAACTTGGGAAGCTTGATTGAGGAAGAATGACCAATCAAAATGAACGAAAGAAAGAACGGAGATTGATATCCTCAACAATCGAGGACACCTGGCACTCAGTTAGTTAATTAACGTTCCGAATAACCAAAACGCCATGTATTAACGCGCAAAAAAAGCAGTTTCTCGTCTATTTTGCCGACCCATAACCCTGCCACTTAGACTTAGACCGTGTCGCAGGCGCCAACAGACGAAGTCTCCCCAGCTGTCCTTTGGACTTGTCAATGCCACTGCCCAAGGCCATCTTTGATAGACAATCAAAGAACCTCATTGATGCCCGGGACGTCCGAACAGCTGATTGTCATAAAGCATACTATTTTGTACATAGTGTAAGTTTATTTTATGTTAAAATAAACGGTTTTTGTTAGATACTTGTCATCTTTGTCTCGTCTGCCACCACTCGCGTACTAATGGACCCTAGACCATCACTGACAAGCAATTAATTGATTGCCCCTGGAACTCGGCTTGTTACCAAAACACAGCTTCCCTATCATCAAATGTCACGGCACGCCCTTGATATTTTTTATTATCGTTCAGCAGAATAAACGAACGAATATACAACACAAACATCAAACACTTGACTGGAACAGGGGAATCTTTCCTTAATTAAAGCCAAACTGCCGAAATATCGGACTATAAGTTTGATGCTTCTATTAAAGCAGCCGAGGTGGACAAATCAAGAATAGAGAACAAAGGAAGTGGTGTAACGCATCTCGAAAACGAACTAGAAATCTTCAAGGCCACAGGTGACAAAACACATAACATGTCTTCTCTTAAATGCATTAAAGAGACGTTTCCATTCAACTAAATTTAATCGGAAAGGACATTCTCGGTAACAGAACTTTTCATTACTGAAATAAGAAACAGATTGAGTGATGGAGTATTGACCATCTTTGCTTTTTAAAATTTTATAATAAAAATTTACAATAATATCTGTATTATATTTCATTTAAAACACAAATATTATCTTCTAGGAGAGAAAATCAATCAAAATCCATTTCTTTCTTTAAATTTTTAACTCAATCCAAATGAATTTTTTTTCTATTTATGAAAATTTTTGCGTAATTCAAAAATAACTTTTAGTACATATTTTACAAAACATTTTTAATATTATTATTTTGGGGTTGTGGGACAAATTAAATTATTCAAAAATGAAAATAATCATTAATATATTATTCGATTTCTAAGTATATATTGAAAGTGTCTGTAGAAGTAATTTTTTAAAATATCCTTTTTCATGATAAAGATTTAATAATAATTGAGACATGGTAATCTTTAAATACACAAGTATATTTAAGGATTAAGCCACAAATATATGTAGTATACTTGTGGCCAAAAACTCCATGACATCTTTCAATGTAGGCCAAAAAAAAAAATTTGGACACCCCTGTTTTAGTGTATACTTACATACATGAAGTAATATTATATTAATTTATACACGTTGTATAAGTTTTTTTTTTGGCTGTACTTACACATAAAGATGCTACTAATAAGTAAAGAAATGTTGGAGTAAATTGAATAAAATGTCTTCACATCTATCAATACATATACGCCATTTACTTGCACAGGTGGTCATTTAGTTCCATGTCTATAAGAAGTAATACGCATCTAGCTACATCTATTGATCTTACTTTATTTGCATCCCAATGGCCTACGAATAAATTAATTTGTTATTGTGTAACATAGTTTAGTACTAATAAAAGTAAAAAAAAACAGTATAATATTCACACTTACTGACTCTTCCCAGTCCCAAGACTTGACCTGTTTCTAATCGTTTGGAACACATCATATCCATTTGTAGAAATCTTTCCAATGCTGAAGGCAGAAGGTCTTTGAACATATCCTTATACTTCTTCCTTGTTGCATAATAATTCTTGAGTAATTTCAGTGTTCTTTCTCTGTCGTATTTTCTTGCTCGTAGAAAACTTAGGAGAAATATGTCGTCACTCCTACATTTTAGTTGTTTCTCTTCTTTTGTAACCATGCAAAATACCATTATAATTTTGAAAGCGTTCGCCAAAATTTTTATAATAAAAACCATAAGATATGAATGATTAAATCTTAAAGATAAAGCTTTTTTTTACAAAATACAGTACTAAATCTTTTCTCAGTTAATATAAGACGCTTTCAACTTAAAACTGATCTATTTATAAACAGTTATAAACAGAATAGTTGCTTACCAGCCGGATTTTGTAACTTTCCGGATTTTTTAAATTTTACATTGTTAATAATAAATAAAATTGTATGTTCTATATGTGGTACCATCTGTTATTCTATTTTGTTATAAAAAGTTTTATGTTATTAATTATTATAAAATGGCAAAAAGCTAAATTTTCCGGGTAGAGATAAGTTTTATAAAAAAAAATTGTAAATCGTAATAATGAATAAATTCTTTATTAAGTTCAACCCCACTGGCGATAAGACATATTCCCCCCTCTATGTACCTATCCTCTCGACCATTAATTACCAAAATTTAGTCGCATAAACGCCTCTTATATACAAGTTACCAAGCCAAATTTCGTCTCTTAATCATTACTTATTACACTGAGATATACACTAATTATATACACTGAGATATTAAACAAAATAGATGCCAACACTGTACTTCACTCACGTCTATAAAAATTACCCTACTTTCTAATGGCCCCATTCGCCGTTGCTCATATGGTCATACAGAAGTATTGGTATGAGCCTCTACTGTACATTAATTAAATCACAACTATTTAAAATTCTTGGTAACTTATGCGATACATTCTATTACAGTCAAATCCACTTAAGAGAGATCGCTGCGTCATGCTTCTTAATCGGAACTACCCTGTTATCTGAAGTAATAAAATAATCCACGTGATTGATAATGGTACTTATCTTATTTGTTAGTAGCTCTATGCAGTTTATAACGCAATTGGAGATATTTTATCTTGACATTTTTGAAGGATACCATACTTTGGTGCTGCGGTTACAAGCACATGAGAAGAATGGCAAAATAGATGCACTTGCAAAGGGCCAGGTGAAAGGCCGCAGTGACTAAATAAAAGTAATTTGGACATGTTGCAACTTATACTACTTATTCTTACTGGCACCATTTTTTTAATAAGAGGTCGCTCCTTCTCACTTTGCAATTTAGATAAAACAATTTCTGAATTGAGTTTCCCAGACTGTAGATTCGTTCTTACCCCACCTGTTCCTGAAGGATTTTGTGAATAATCAAGTGTGTCGTTCATCTGTGCTTAACTTTGTTCTGAGATTAAAAATCTGTCAGTATATAAAAAATGTTACACCTCATTTGTTACTGAATACGTGGTTGAAGAGGAATACACGTTGAACATCTGCAACGTAACTGCTGATGCACATATTGAGTGTAAAAAAATTCCTAGTGTCTTTTAAGTAAAAGACAACAATATTTTACATTATGGTAAGTTTTTAATTTATACTTTTCTTTTTATTAAACCTCAAAGCTGGACACGCTATTAGTCTGAACATTCTTTTCCAATATGTTTTTACTAATTTGTATGGAAATAATACACAGTATTTCGGATTCACTTCTTTCATACTTTTTACGCATGCTACAGTTTCTTGTAGACAAATTCGAAACATAATCTTTCGTAAAATTTAATAGATCCTTAAAACTTATAATATAGACTATAATTTATCAAAATATATATATTAATATATTAGAATACTTAGAACAGCAGTTCGAAATTCCTGTAACTCCTTCTCGTTCCAAGTGTAGTCTTTGGTCGCTTCCATTCCTATATCTTTCGTAACATAAGTTTAATTAATAATCTTTCGTAACATAAGTTTAATTAATAATCCCGTATATTTTTAATAATTATGATAAATAAATATTTTGTCAAATTAATATTGAGTTTAATCTATTTAATTTTTATATATTATACGACTTAAAAGAAAATGCAACTCACTTCTCTACCCAACTGCGTATAATGCGGAATTTTTCATATCAATAACATCGTAATCTAAACATTATATTTAGATTAAAGACCTTAAACTTTGGACTAGGAAAAAGTACATATATAATAAGCAAGACTGGAGGGAAACGGTTTGTTAAATAATTTAATTAAAAACACGTTAATTAAATATTACCCACAAGTCGGAAAGAATTTTTACTTTTTTCTTCCTGTGTACACTAACGGGACTTTTTTTGTAAACATTTTAAACGTCTATTAAAAAATTTAAAATGTTTTTCTTGTTGATTGGTGGTAATCGTGGAAGACGGACAGTGATAGAAATATCACTGTTTTTTCTTAGTTACGCGTTACCCTATTGGTAGAAAGGGCAATTTCCTGTGGCTTCCACATAACAGATGACCTTTTATAAACTTATTACTGTAGTAAGAATTTAAATTTGGAGCCATATCGATGACCCTAAATTACCGGTGTGGCGCACAGCTTAATATAACACAAGAATATTTAATACAATGGCGTGGGCACTCTTAGTACACCTTTATACAGTATATTGTAATAGGAGCTCCTCGATTGAAATAAAATTCACATTTTTTAAAAATATAACTAGTGTATAATTTAATAAGTGTAAAAACTATATCACCATCGATGAATAGACGAGAGTAACCTAAATCTTCGGCATTAATATTTATTCTCGTCATTGTGTCCATAAACTAAATTTCGTACGCCATTTTGAAATGATAAACGATCTATCAGTTCATTAATTGAAGAAAAAGAACGAATTTACCTTAGTTCCCGTCTACAGTACGTAGCTTTAAAAACGTAAATTATAAAAAAAAACATTAAAAATTATATCAAAATATAGTAATAATACAAAATTATTTACTCACCTTCGTCTTGAACAAATCTTGCTCTTTTCTTCGCGTTACCTTCGAGAGGAGAGTGACTCTATACAATAAATAAATGTTCAAGCTAGAATTTTCATAAATATAATTATAATGTACAAATATACATACCTTCGAGCCAACGTTGTACATTTTAGGATAGCAATGCCGAAGATTTTTTTCAATGAGCGGTTCAACGATTTAGGAGGAAGTCCATCAACTGAAAACCCAATGCAGAAAACTTAACAATGCACTTCAATAACAATGGAGAGTAATTCGGATTTGATTGTTTTCCCGTTCAAGATATTTTTGTAAAGCTTGCAGACATTCAATAAATAACAATAAAACATTTTGATGGTAAAAAAACAAATTTTTTTGTGTAACAAAGACCATTTTTAATGTAGATAATAATGGTCGGTATAAAACGCCGTATAACCTGACAATGAGCTAATATACACAGTCGTTATTGTAGAGGGTTGCTATCATCGATCGGCGAATTATATAATAGAGTTATACAGTCTATTATATGCATGCTTTTGTAAGAACCCGTTCTATAGCGCCCCTATCTTAAATGAACATTGTTTTTGTGTATTGGTAACATTACAAACGTATCATTAATTAGAAACGGGCGCAACTAACGAAATAGATAATGTTAATAGATAAACATTATTAATTAAATGCGGAATTTGGTGCTATTAGGTTACTAAGTTTGGTTCGTTTACGGTAAATAAAAAAATGTTTTTAATACCGAAGAATAAAACGAATTGTGAAATGCCTGGTGAGTTATATTCAAAATGTAACACCTGATCATTTACAATGATTCTCAATATATTACATTGGCATTCTGACATTTTCTAACTTTTCATTCGAACAATTAATAAATCAAAGTTTTTTACCGTGTGATAAAACTTTCGACATTGTTTCTGATATGTTTTCTTTTTTTTTATGGCAACAACATTTAGTAATTATATTCTTAACAATGTCTGTATTGATTGTAACACAATATTTAAATTATGTGAATATGAAGCGTTCGTGGTATAAAAAACAGAGATTGTTAGTGAAATGAAAAAAGAATGATCTCATTTATCTTATGTTATAAATAGAATTTCATGTAACTTAACATCTTTACCTTCCTGTACTGTACTTGGGTTTAAGTTACTCATTCCACAATAGAACTGATTGAATTTTAGTGCTTCCTCTCTAGCTTTATTAAGTTTATTTAAAGTCACATTGAAATCGTATTCTAATCTGTTGTTAGCATCGACGAAACGTATTTTTGCAATCTCACTTTATCTACTTTCTTTATTTCTTAACATCACTTCTCTAAAATTCTTTCATTCTCTTACTCTCTGAATAAGAGGACGAGGATTCAATTTCCTCAATTTTTTATAGCTTATTTACGTGATCGATTGAGAATCTCTGTGCAAAAGACTCTTTCTACAATGCGACGTTTGCTTTCGACATTTACCGGCTCGCTAGTAGCCGTTCGTTTTTCTTTTCTCGTATTATTTACTTACTCTTTGTAACCTTCCTTCTTTATTTTACGTAATCTGTAGTTGTGTCTTGTCAGATCTCTGTTAGGATTGGGGTACGCTTGGGCAACCCCAGCAATCTTTAACTGAGCTGTAACGTTCGTCATCCGTAATCAAACATTTGGTGTTCTCCCATTTTGGATCGTTTATTTCGCTGATTTCTTAAGGATCTTCGATCACGTATTTCGATTTTTTTATTGTATTAAATATGGTTCTTTCATACTCGTTTCGTTTTACTAAATTATTGCCTTTTTTCGTATAATACGAATGGGTCTTTTTACTTTCTCGACCTTCGATTGTGCTTTTTTACAGGAAGTTTCTGATTCAATTGACGATTCTTCTTTTAGTAGTATTATAATTCCTCCCTCTTTTAATTGTAAATCTTTATCAACTTTTTTAATTGTTCTGCAGAATCATTCTTTTCCTTATTTAAAAATGCATCTGATTCGTTTTTAAAGTCGAGATTTTCATTTCCTATATTCTGAAATGTATCATCATTTGCATTAATGATTTTTTTGTCAGGTCCATCGAAATTAACCTTAAAGTCAGTAATTAAACTTTTATTTTTTATGTATTTATTATTTTCATCTTTAACAAAAAAAAATTGTCAATGTTATCACTTACAAAATAGTTTTATTTTGTACATTTTTATCTTCTTGCTTTAGAAATTCGTCTTCCATTTTTTCTTGTTATTTTCTACTCAGAAGGCTATCTGTAAATACTGTATTGCAAGAAACATTTCATTAATAAAAAGAAAGCATATGTTCGTTTTATAAACTTTTTATTTTAAAATAGATAAAACTATCTCAATGAGTTTATATTGTGATTACGAGTGTTATACAACTGCTAATCCGAGAAAGAAGTAGATTTTCTAGTACAGTATCATTATCAGGCAATTGTATATTAGTCAGTAAAGAAGCGAAAGTGTCAAAATTATTTCAGTCTTGTATCAGTAAACTACGAAACAGAAGACAGCCAGTCACATTTCAATTACCAATTCATTCACAAACAACTATATATCGTAAACATGAAGTTTCAAACGATTATATAAAAATAAAGCAAATTTAAGTGTCATAAATAAAAATTTAAATGTTCTCTTAATATTTGTAGTATCTTAATTTGATTTCAAAATATTTGACAGTTACTGTATAATAAATAAATTATTTATTAATTTTAGGACTATCCCCTAAGGTGCGGTTCGCTTTGACTTTAAGTCCTTCAGGTCATTTGGGCCGTGTCTGCTCTTTCCGCTGCACCAGACCGTTTACATTCGTTCTGACGATGCGATATGTCGATTCCCTTTGTGTTCCCGCGTCTGCCATTCCTTCTGCCTCGGATCATCTAAATTTTCTCTCATGACCCAACCTCATGTAGAGCTCCGCACTTCAAAGAGCCATTTTTCTTGTTCCCATAAGAGCTCCACTTTCCTCATCTCATCTTTGATTTCCGCCAGTTTAATCCACAGCCTTGCCTTTCCGCGTTCAGACGCGTTTACCCTGTGTCCCCCGGTCAGCCTGCTTCCATCCCATTCTCGCTGTTTCTGTCTGTTTCGGCTACGATCGTCCGAGATTCCCGGCTCATCGTCTTCCTAATTCCTTGCCTTCGAATCTTGCGATTTCACGCGTCTAGGCAAATCTGTGCTAGATAGAGCAAAATATTTTTACCTGGATCAATGATTACTGGTGTTGTTCTGTTCCTATTTCCTCCTCTTGCGTCATAGATCAGCCTTTTCGATTAGTGGTATCTTCCGCTTCCGTCGTGCAAAATCCAAAATATCCTGTCGATTACCGCGCCAGTCAAGTTCAAAAATTCTAGTTAAATTTAATTAACTTACGATGTTTTACAAAAGTTATAAAATTACAACGTTTATCTAGTTCTATCGACGGACACCATTTTGTCATGAAGTTATCTGAACGTATGGAAAATAACCATTTTGTCACGAACAACTCACTAAGTTTAGTTAATAATTGAATTCCAAAAAGTAGCTTTAATGGATGAAGAGATCGGTACAATCATTGACTATGAAAATTTATATCCATCGATAAAACTAGATACGTGTTATCATGCCTTAATAGACACCTTACGCATATTAAACCCATGCGTGACGACCTACCCTGAAGATATGGGGATGCTAGCTGACTTAATTTGTTTCAAGTCATTCTTCAGCTTTCAAGGCAAAATATATAAACAAAAGAAAGGTGTGCCCATAAGCAACCCAATGATTACTTTGTAAATCGGTTCAACGTAAATTAGAACAGAAGACGATTAGGAATTTTAAACATGAGATAATATTATACAAAAGATACGTAGACGATGTATGTACAGTAGAGCTTCGATTATCCGACCTCCGATTAACCGTCACCTCGGTTAACCGACCGCGTTCTAGTCGGCAAATTCAAATGTCCGCTAGTGATGTGGTGCTACAATATTTGGCTATGTCTTGGCTACATTAATATTATTTTTGTTAAATTTTTGCGTGTTTTAGCTGGCTACACTGACTCGACTATGAAAGGGAGGCCAGTATTTAAACGAGGCTTAATTTTT